ATGATGGAGGCATAGGACTAGTCCACACCCAAATGTTGATTGTCCTGAAATGTGTCATCCTTTAGGCAACCCCTTTGAGCCTTGTGACTTCGAGGGTCGTTCTCAATTTAGGAGCTTCGTGTGTGTGAGCTTAATGGTGTTAATAGAACGACCTCAATCCTTTCTTCATATCTAAACATGAGTCGTCCTTGCGTCCTGAAGCTCTCACCTTTGAGTTTCCATAGAGGTTCTACATAGGAGGTTTCTATGCGGTCCTTGCTAGGAATGAGAAAAATGAAGTGTAGTGTTGGAGTGAGTTCCTCAAAAAGAGAGCATTGGTCGTTAAATATATAGGTGGCAAGTGTTTTTACTCTCTAGTACACCCCTCAAAAAGATAAGAAAAAGAAAGAAAAGAAAAGAGAAACGAAAAAGAGGTAATAAAATGGGGTAAACAAAGTAGAGAGTGCCACGAAAAATCAAAGTACATGCTCTAGGAGGGGTTTCTTGGCACCCAAGCCATTGAAACCCCCACATTGTTTTAGAAATCCTTCACTACCAAACCTTAATGTGCTAGAAAGAGTAGACCAAGGAAGAGTGCTTCAATGTAGTTCACGATGGGTGATAGTTTGGAAAGGAGAGATAATGGTTTTGGCCGATGCTACTGGCCTTGGGTTGAAGAGAGGGGTTTTAGTCGAAACCATAGAACCTTCGGGTTTAGGTTAAAGATGTAGAACCTCACGTCATGATTGCCACCACCCAAAAAGCCTTTTTCCCATGTCCAAGACAATTGTCAGTCATCTGAACTCGTGTCTAGACCTCCAGAAAAGCTAGTGGTGACAACCATCCCGTGAACTCTAGCATCTAGATATTACCGCCATGGTATTGAGACGATAGGGCAGAGAGTTTATGATTGTGCGTATCTTTTGCACAAAAAAGGTCCCGACCCCACAGGTCTTGAGAGTGAGTGATTCATTCTTGCTTTGCATGTCATATCATAACCCGGTGAGGACCTTTGTTGCCTTCCCATTTGTTCCTCAGACTTGAATTCCATGCATGGTTGGTTTTGGTTGATAAGTGGTCTTGTTGCGACTTGCATTGATCTATTAACAAGGTGAGACCTTTTCATTTGCCCGTTTTTTGTGGCTTCGAATGTCGTTTGTGGTGGATGTCGGTATTGCTTGCAATGGTCCATGTATTGATTGCCAATAGCCATTGAGAATTCCCACTTTGTTCCCCTTGAGTTGTCCCCAAAGTATTTGTGTAGGTTGAAATATTACCTTGTGTGAAATGGTTTGCTTGGGGACAAGAAAAGTCTAAGTGTGGGGGAGTGCTTCGGGCCTAATTGTACATGTTTTGCTCCCGTTTTACTTAGGTGTTTGTTTTGGCGCACACCTCCAGTTCACGGACGCGTTTCATGGTTCACGGCTGTGAACTCAGGCCATAAACTAAGCTCGTCTCTAGTTTAAAAGATGAGCTCAAAGGAGGAGAGAGGGGAGATCCCATTTCGTGTAAAAAACCTTCTTCAGATTTCTAGAGAGAGAAACACGAACCAAAGGAGAGGAAGGCTAGGGTTTTGCTTCAAGGTGGATTTTGGGATGATTTCCTCCAAGGAAAGTTCAACGCAAGGGCCAAGAAGATTGGGAGCATCCTCCAAGATGGTTTCCACCTCTTCTCCCTGTGTTTTTACCATTTCTAGCATGGAGTAGATCTCATTTCACTTGGGTGTTATGAAACCCTAACTCTACCATGTAGTTTCTTTAATGTGAATTGAATGATTGTCATTGGGTACTGGTTAATTCAATGATTGAGGTTTTATTCATGATTGATTGTGCATGCTTGTGCTTAGCAACCTAAGGGTTGTGCATGTTTTGTGCTTAGCATCCTTAGGTTTGTGCATTTTGGTGCTAGCAATCTAATTAGCCACCTTAACTTAGCTTAGAGAGGGAAATCTTGCTTCCAAGGGAGACTCAATCGAGTTGGTTTTCCTTCAGCTTTTTAAGCCACCTAACTAGGTTAATTTAGGGCAACCTCAATATTGAATTAAGCAAATCGGTTAATCGTGATTAAGCCGTCTGACCTTTGACTTGAGTGAGGGAGTAAGTCAACTACCGATAGCCTAAACCGAGAGGGTCGAGTGATACGGTCTATAATGTTTACCTCGGTTTAGCAATTGAGATTGTGGTCTCCGACCATATATGCATCCCTCTGCGGTTCGCGGTTACCTTGCCCAAAGCAATCGTTCCAATTCACATATCATGGTAGTAGTTAGGGGGAAGTGACACCCGAGTGATCCTTCCACAAAAGAGTTTTCAAAACCATTTATCTTTGCCCTATTTTATTTTAATTAACAAACTTTTAAACCAAAACTTTGTTGCTAGATAATGATTAAAACAACTGAAGTAGGGGTAGACGGACCGACCTGGGTTGATATCTAAATACTTGCTCTATACTGCACCCAACTAGAGTTTAAATGAGGAATGTCATTATTATGATTATGATACTAAAGTAGAAGTGGACCCTGCGGTGAACATGCAGTGTGTCTGTGTTTAATATTGAAATATAGCTGAGGATTTAACGAAGATAAAATGAGGAATGTCGTTATTATTATTATTATTATTATACTCAAGTAGAATTGGATTATTCATAATCGAGTATTTGGAACTTAGAACTTTGTAATTGATCCATACAAAACGTGAATTCCTAGAAACTACTTTGTTATTATTTCAATAATTCATAACGTAATATCCGGCCATGAGTTATGTGAAACTGCCTACGAAAGAGATAATTATCCTAATACGATTACTTGGGATGGGTGATTATTTTATCATTGAGCTTATGATGAGAATGATGATTTTATATGATGTTCAAATTAATCACATAGACTTAGAAAGGGTCTGCGTTTACCCCCAACCAATTGATATTGTTACTGACGATCATTAGGATCGATGAGGCCAGTGACCAGAGAGATATGATTGTGGTTTCCGATATAATCACTGAAATTATGAGGCTCGAGTAGTCGAGCGGGGGTGGATGTATGGTGACCTTGGCACCCAAATTAATAAAATAGAAATGCATTGCACTTGCATATTATTTGGATATTGGATGCTAGGTTGAGACTTCAACCTAGATGCCATGATTAGGTGGTTAATCAATTTACATGAAAAAGATATCCATAGACTTCACCGTATAGGAGGGAATATCGCCACACCTCAGCTAAATTAGTTAGATGACCCCCTCCCCTTGTGTTCAGATCCGCAGCAGAGGAACTGAGCTTGGACGTCGGAGCTGTGCAACTTCTACTCCATCGTCATTATAAAAAAAAACTTATACTCCATCGTGAGGTATCGAATGATTGGTTAGAGGAGAGTTTTTTTTACCTATGTTTCGTATTTTAAAACAAGTATCACAAACATGTATTATGTTGGGTTTGATTGCATTAAGTTTGATCGATTGAGTTATTATAATTTATGGATTTTACCAAAATATGTAAGATGGAGATTTGAGTTTCAACGAACAAGTGTTTGGATTTTGATGTCCTGAACTAGATGTTGTATGATGTTCTAGTTTAATGAACGAGATTGGATATGTATTGAATGATGTTTAGTGAACGAAAGATGCATATGTATTTAATGATGAGTTAATACATGAACTGCGTTAGTATTTTCCGTTGTGCGTGCGAACCAGTGGTTTAACCCATGAGTTGTAGGGTGGGATGTTACATTTTATCTCATAACTAGTAGTTCGCTCATATCCTCCATACAAAACCCTTAAACTTATTGGCTAGATAACAACAACGTGGAAAGTAGGATAGGGTACCAGGACCCGAGTAGAATACGTCATTGATTGCTACTATACAACAATGTCGTTTTAACTTAAACTTGGCCTAGGATGGGGTAGTTATTGACACATGCTAATCATTGACAATAACTAGCACAAATGAATTAGATCTTGGGTAGATGGAAGCTGGGATGTAGTACGATGAACCAGATACTTTGGATTAAGGTATGCGATATGCCAATTCAACCAAAGCTTAAGTTCTTTGCGCGAGAGCTCCTAGAGAGACTTTTGTAGACGATGGAGGCATTGCGTGATAAAAAGGTGTCATTCCTTGCACGTTGCCAGTCTGTTGAGGGATGGAAGAGAGTACATAGCATCTTTTTTGGCATTGCCTAGTTGCTAGAGTCTGGTGGGAGGCGGCCGGTTCTCTGTTGAGTTGGAATCTCTACCGGCTTTGTGCTTCAACATTTTTTACGATGGATTTTGGATAGGGATTTTCCCCCCTCGCGGGTTGTGAGATTGCTTTGTCTATTATGAAGAGTTTGGAAGGCGAGGAATGGGTGGTCTTTGAGGGACAGCAGATTCTCCCTAATATCCTCGGGCAGTAGTTCTTTTATTAGGTGGAGGAATGGCTGCAGGTCCCTGCGGAAAGGAGAGTCGATGCTGGTGTGGCATCAGTAGCATCTACGGCAAGTAATCATGACAATGATGGACTCTTCGACGGTTATGATTTGTTCCTTTGACGGGGCAGTATGCATGGGATCCCATGCGGCGGGTGGTCTGGTCTTACGAGAGGCGTCAGGTGCATTGGTGGGGGCTCATAGGGTGATCTACAATGGTCCTCAAATTCCGATGCATGTGGAGCTTTTGGCGCTTCGTGATACGATCAGGTGGTGCCATTCTGAGGTTTGGCCAATGTTTAGATTGAAGGAGATCCTAAGATAATTGTTGATAAGGTGAATGCTGGTGGAATTCGAGATGTTGCTTGTTGCGCCTTACTGGAAGAAATTTGGCATCTCCTGTCGTCTTCACCTGAGTTCCGGGGTAGGTTTGTAGGTAGACAGAACAATAGGGTAGGGTGACTAAGAAAGCCATGTCTTTGTTTCCTATGAGTTGTAATAATTTTGATTTCCAAGCGTGGCTTTGGTTAAAGCCAATATCTGTGTAACTTTGTTTACTTGTTAATGCATGCGATCTTTCCCTAAAAAAAATGTATAAACTTTATTAGGATTAATAAATTGGAGCGAAATTTTATATTTTAATTTCTGAAAAGTAACGGGTGTTAAATGGTCTCCGACCAATGAAAGAAGAAGAAAAAAAGAATGAAAAAAACTTGTTCTCATAAAATACTAGTGTCTGTATTAATTTCTTTTTTAGGTAAAAGATATTTGTGTTGGTAGTAAAGCTCTGAGTTGGGACTTTGAGGAAGGCTCGGATAGTTTTGCCGTCTTTATGGTTCTATCTTCTGAAATTTGGGAGAAAACTCTCATGCAGAAGCAGAAGCAGAAGCAGAAGCAGAAGCAGAAGCGAATGAGAATATGAGATGATGCAGAAGTGTGCATCGACATTTATAAAGTATGGCCTTTTCAAGTTACCCTCCTCAGACCCTATCAGTTCCTCTCCACCGGCAGCTCCACAGGTATTATCACTCAAGAAGCTACGATTCCGTCAATCAAGTTTTGGGCAGTGGTTTCCCTCCCAAACCCTTAAAGCCCGCCCTTTTCTTGGTGCTTAAACCCCCTCAATCATCACTCGACACCCTCACTTCGCTCCCTGCCCAGAAACCCACGAATTCGGGTTTGCTCCAACTTTGTCTTCATGGGAACCTCGCACCAGCTCTGGAATACCTCGACTCGATGCGGCTACTGAAAGCTCCGATTGAGGAGGAGAGTTTTATTGCCCTGGTGAGACTCTGCGAGTTCCGGAGAGGACGCAAGGAAGGTCGTTATGTGTACCAACTTGTGTTGGAATCCTTGCTGTCCCCTTTGAGTCTTAGGCTTGGAAATGCGTTGCTGAGTATGTTTGTGAGGTTCGGCGATGTAGGTAGTGCTTGGAATGTTTTTGGGAGAATGGGCGAGAGGAATTTGTTTTCCTGGAATGTTCTTGTTGGCGGGTATGCTAAAGGTGGCTTCTTTGATGATGCTCTCTGTTTGTACCATAGAATGTTGTGGATTGGCATTAGGCCTGATGTCTACACTTTCCCTTGTATATTGAGGAGCTGCGGTGGTGCTCAGGATATTGTGAGAGCAAGAGAGCTCCATGCTCATGTTATTAGATTTGGTTTCGAATCGGAGGTTGATGTGGTGAATGCTTTGATTACCATGTATGTTAAGTGTGGAGAAGTGACGATGGCAGGCAAATTATTCGATACAATGTTCATCAGGGATACAATTTCTTGGAATGCAATGATTTCCGGGTTTTTCGAGAATGGGGACTGTCTTAGAGGGCTAAAGTTATTCTTCAAAATGCGAGAGCTTTCCATCAATCCAGATTTGATGACTATGACGAGTGTGATCTCAGCGTGTGGCCTTCTTGGTGATAATAGATTGGGGAGGGAAATTCATGGATATGTGATGAGAACTGAGCTTGCCAATGATGTTTCAGTGTCTAATTCCTTGATTGAATTGTACTCCAGTGTTGGCCAATGGAAAGAAGCCGAAAAATTGTTCTCAGGAATGGAATCCAGAGATATAGTGTCATGGACGGCTTTGATTTCGTGTTATGAGGATAACTCACTGCCTGAGAAAGCTTTGGAAACTTACTTGAACATGGAGGTTGTGAAAGGAATTGTAGCTGATGAGATAACAATAGCCAGTGTGTTATCTGCTTGTGCTAGTCTACGGAATTTGGATATAGGTGTAAAGCTTCATAAGCTTGCCACTAGGACTGGACTTGCCTCATACACTATCGTGGCGAACTCGCTCATTGACATGTACTCTAAGTGTAATTCCATTGACAAGGCTTTGGACGTGTTCCATCAAATTCCAGAAAAGAATGTGGTATCCTGGACTTCAATCATTGATGGCCTTCGAATCAACAATCAGTGCATTGAGGCTTTATCATTCTTTTGGCAAATGATTAGAACCACGAAACCGAATTCAGTTACTTTAGTTTCTGCTTTGGGTGCGTGTGCTAGAATCGGTGCATTGATGTGTGGAAAAGAGATTCATGCTCATGTATTGAAGGCCGGAACTGGCTTCGACGGTTTCCTACCGAATGCGATTCTTGATATGTATGTAAGGTGTGGTAGGATGAGACCTGCACTGCATCAGTTTAACTTGAACAAGACAGATGTGGGGGCTTGGAATATTTTGTTGAGAGGGTATGCCCGGAGGGGACAAGGAGCATGGGCTATGGAGTTATACCGGAGAATGTTGAATTCTCACATAGTTCCTGATGACATAACATTTGTTTCTCTTTTATGCGCATGTAGTAGATCTGGGATGGTCACTGCAGGTTTGGAGCTATTCAACAGTATCAAGACTAGACGTTCTGGCAATCCAAATCTGAAACATTATGCCTGCATTGTTGATCTGCTTGGACGGGCTGGGGAGTTGGAGAAAGCATACGAGTTTATTATGAACATGCCAATACAACCAGATCAGGCAGTTTGGGGAGCCTTATTGAATGCATGTAGACTTCACCGGCATGTCCAGCTCGGAGAACTGGCAGCTCATAATATTTTCAATCTGGGGGCGGGAAGCATTGGTTACTATGTTCTGTTGTGTAATCTTTATTCAGACAGTGGTAAATGGGATCAAGTTATCAAAGTAAGAGAAAAGATGAAAGAAGCAGGGCTAGTTCTTGATCCTGGTTGCAGTTGGGTGGAAGCAAAAGGCAAAGTTCACGCTTTTCTGACTGGTGATAATTGCCATCATCCTCAAGCAAAAGATATAAATGTAGTATTGGAGGGATTTTATGAGAAAATGAAGGAAGCTGGGCGTGATGGTCAAGATTTCGGTTGTATAGATGATGAAGCAGACAGATCAAAAGCCGAAATGTTTTGTGGGCACAGTGAGAGACAAGCGATTGCATTTGGACTAATTAATACTGCTCCTGGGTTGCCTATATGGGTTACCAAGAATCTCTACATGTGCCGAAGCTGTCATAGTTTAGTCAAATTCATCTCCAAGGTAGTCCGTCGGGAAATTTCTGTCAGGGATACAGAGGAGTTCCACCATTTCAAGGATGGCGAGTGTTCTTGTGGAGATGAAAGTTACTGGGAAGAAATTAATAACAAAAGATAGTGAATAAGAGCCAAGTACCCTCCTGTTTCAGCACTGAAAGTGGTACTGGCAATTGGCAAAAGAAGTTGGGTTTAGAGTAGCAAAAGCTGTCTTCTTCAGTGTACAGTTTACTGGACCTTGTAATATGTTTGTGCGTTATTTATAACCTGGCCTCTACGCAAGGAACATGAGCAAGATGATATTTTTGTGCTTTATTTGTGGAGATGATATGTGGCTCCCACTGCCACCTCAATAGCTTGGGAAGCATAATATGTGGTGCGGGAAGTTGCAGCCCTCGTGGATTGATAGCTTCTTGCCAAGGTACCCTTTCGGTTCTCAGAATAGTGTAGTCATCTATACCAATGAAGCATGCATGCCTCATTGAGGGTATTGATTTGCAAAGATTCTTGTACAGTTGTAAGGTAAGAGCGTAAGGTACAACGTTCTTCTATCTAGTAATGGCTGTAAGAATGTCTATTGCGATGCAGTAAGAAAAATGGTTTAACAAAATACAGTACTTGAGACTTTGAGAATACTACCCCCCTGGATTTGTTGTTCAATAACTGTTACTGTATTCAGTTTACCCTGGAGTGGGTCTCACCGTTTTGAACGTATCACTCTATTCTTATCTGACATGAACCGAAATCATTTGCAGTATAGTTAACCAACATAATGGTTATACCTCCTATGTCACAATAAAGTATTGGGGCAGTCCTACTCCGTATAGAGTAATCAGGAAAGAACACGAAGATCTAAAGCTTGTGTGGGCTGTGAAGTATGTGATGTGATTGTTCGTTGAATTTCCTTCAGAGCGGAAGTGATAGTGGAGAAAGAGGGCCGCAGAGAAGGATCTTGATCCCAGGACACACATATGAGATCAATTAGCTCCACCAGTTGCCCATCTTGGTCCTCCGGAAGCGCGGGTCTCAGATTTCCCTCAGCTACTTGCATTGCGATCTGTTCAAGTGCAGGGGAAAAAAGAAGCACACACTGGTTTGAAGAAATCTTTCCAACTATACTTGGTGGCCATCTAAATAAATGCTTATTTGTTGCAGTTGAACAGACTAGTACTACAATAGTAGTAGTGCATTACCTTGCTAGGACCGAAATCTGTGTCGATGTAAGGGTAATCTCCGGTGACGATCTCGTTCAGAATGATGGCGAAACTGTAGACATCACATTTCTCATTGTAAGGCTGACAAGCAATCACCTCTGGCGCCATGTATATGTAAGTTCCTGTTTCGCCAGTGAGTGCCATTTCTTGGTCGTTGAGGAACCTGGCGTGCCCAAAATCGGCAACCCTGACATGGTTGGCGTCGTCCAAGAAGATGTTGCTGGGCTTGAGATCACGATGGATGACCTTATTGGGCTTCTGCTCGTGGAGGTACTGCATCGCCAGAGCAATCTCCAGGGCCCTGGCAAGGCGATCCGGCAGCGGAGGCAAGGGGACGGACCTGGCCATGCTGCGGCTGCCAGCACCGTGCAGCCATTCCTTGAGGGTCGTCCCCAGGAACTCCGTCACCACCCAGGCGTGGTTGGGTGGGTCGAGTGATGCCCCGACTAGCTGCAGGACGAAGCGGTGCCTCTGTCTGGACAATGTGTCCAGTTCTTGGAGGAAGAAACTCACCCCACTGTCGTTGGTGCGGAAGAAATCTGGGAAGATGCACTTGACAGCGACGTCCAGCCCTCTCCACACTCCCTTGTAAATCTCGGCCGTGCTTCCTTCCGCAACCTTTTCTTGCAACTCAATCTCTTGGGGGTGGATGTACCATCCATTGAGGGTGGCCTGGTTGGCGAGGGCGGTGAGTTGAGAGTGGTATTGTTGGTGTGGTGAAGCTGAAGCAGGGAGGGTAGGGCTTGAAATGGGAGAGACGTTACATTCTTGGTAGTCTTTGTTGCCAATGATGAGGTCCAAGAAGCCATGGTCTTGTGCAATCTGAAGGCAGAACCTGAGGTAGTCTTGGCTTCTCTCCATTCGCTTTCGGTACATAACCCTCAGCTCCTTCTGCTTTTCTACTTGTGTTTCCAGATCCGCCACCTTCAACGCCAACAGAACCAGATAAACACAATTAGTCAAAAAAGCAAGGCAGTGGTACTCTGGTACTGGTTGGTTTGTAAAAAGGCTAAGGCTAAGGCCGGCGCCCCAATGGACAACACATGAGAATCCACAGCAGAAAGAGACATGCATAGGGCAGCAAAAGAAAAGGGACACGCTAACAATGATTGACCAAGCCTCAAAACCAAAATAAGGGTCCTCGGTTTATAGTGCCTTAATTTAGTAAGGGATATGATTCGGTTTGTGATACGATAAGTTCATCTCGGTTGAACAAAATATGTAGAAAGGTAAAAAAAATTAACATTAAATGAATTTAATCATATATAAATACATATTTGAAGACTTTCTACTTACAATCTATATTCATATTTAAATAAAATACAACATTTCAAACAAAATAACAATACTCATATTTAAGTACAACAATTAATATTAAAACTCCAACTTTACATCAAATTATATAAACATTTACCTTTCAAATTAGTGAGATAAATCACAAATTAATTGTCTTTCTTAATTAAATTTATTAAAATAATGTAATTTTGTTTGGATACTAGAAATCGATCATAAAAGTGATATTCCACCATGTTCATGAGCGGCATCAATTGTACCAGGTTCAACGGACCGACATTCTACTTGCATGACAACCATCTTCAAAACACAGGTTTGCCTTGGAGATTCGATGGTTGTCCCTGTGCACCACAACTACTCTGGACCATCTATAATTGACTTCCAAATACATTTTCTCCCCCTTCCTACTTGGAAGATGAATGTTTTTCTCATAGTTTCACTATGAACAATGCAACTGTAGGGACTTTGACATCGAACGTCCTAAGCTTGCGCTAAAGACGGAAAAACTCGCCCTTTAAACAACAAGGCAACGGCAAACAGCCATGGACGCAGGTGGAAGGGAAGGATTTGGGTGCCAACTTCTATCAATGCAGTACTGGGTCATAATAAAAATAAAAACCGTATCCTAATAATCGAGTTAATAAGTTACCTGCTGCTGCAGCTGGGTGATGAGAAGCTGCTGCTGTTTGAGTTTGGGTGGTGGGGCAATGGAATCCATACTCATGCAGTCTCCGAGCTTCCGACAACATCCGCTGCCGAAAGATCTGGAGGGTAGCGCTGCACCGGAATTAGCTGCGGGAGAAGCGGAGGGTGATTGCGGCTCTGCCAACGCAGCAGCTGGTGTTTTCTTCCGACCAAACAGCGAGCCTTGTCGCCCTTGCTTGTTTCCGCCTCCAACTATCATACTTGTTATTATGATCACGCTTCTTAATCTTCCTTAACCGCTCTACCTTGCTATCTAGCTAGCTGGAATTGGTCGATCAAGAAGAAGCTGGGATTATATGCACCATTGCTTTCTACGTCTGTTAAATAGCGACAACTCGGGGCGGAACTGTCAATCCAACTCAACAATGTTGCTCTATTTTATTAGTGGCGAAGAAGATGTCAATCCCACATTGCCCCTTTTATATTCAAAATACACCTCCCCATACACACAACACATATCATCCCTACTTTTTACTCTCAACTTTACCAGGACTGCAACACAACAAATCCGTCTCTTCTGGAACAAGATCTATACACATTTTAGGATTGGAAATATCGAGCGTCATCTAGAATGAAATAAAAAATTTACAATTCATGATAATAAACCATTCAAGAGTAAAATATATTATAACAAAAATTCAAGGAGAACTTTTATGACATGGAAGATCGAGTTTAGCCAAAACGATAGAGCATACTAATAAACAATTAGGCAGTGGAAATTGCCACGAAATTTCATTTTAACGAAATCATGGACATAATAAGGATTTTCAATGAGTCAATCATTGGTTATTCTAATAGGACATGGGTCTTATAGCTTTTTGACGACGATTATCATTGGTAAATTATAATAAAATAATGTACGCGAAATCGACTATGCAATATATCATAATAGAAAAAAATGAGTAGGTATCCTTCGATCTTTGTCATCCTATTTTTGTTCGTGGTCGAACAAAGGTTCATCGAGAGTTTTGAGAGAAGGAGAGAATGTATCCTTAAAGCGTCGTCATCCAATCATTCTTCTTAGAATCACATTAACATCTTCACATCTCACGCAAATAAAAATACCTCATTTCACGAGATCTTTGTAATTGTAAAAATATCATATAATCAATTTTCATCAAGCATTCATTCTCAATCATCATCATTACACCAAAATAACGTATCATCACTTATGCGGTCGCTCATCGAGTTTTGCATATATAAACTCGACCGTCGAATATACTAGCTATCCCAACCCAGGACAAGTGCACCCAAGATCGCCGAAATAGTATAATGGTGACCGACGTCGCATTCCAAAGATCGCGGTATCCTAGGCTACCTAGGCTCGGTTGTTATCTAACCACCTAGTTATTTAGCAGGTGGACAGTTGTCGATTACTGAACTAGAGGTCGATAAAGGAGAAGAGGTACTCAGGGTGTCTCCCTCGCACGCCCTAAACTTAGGTTAATCATGCGAGGGTTTGCAGAATAATGTGTGAAACTCACTCAACTAAGGGTTTCAATAATTACTCTCCTCCTCCTACTATGATCCCAAGAACCATTGTCATCTCAGTCAAGGTTCAGGCACTAGGGAAGCCACTTAGTTCCTCTCAATAGGTTCGACCTCTCATGCACACTGAAGCGATCGATTGATGACGCTTGAATCATCTACAACATTGCTCAGAATGGCATTTCATCTAGTAGGAGTTCAATCGTCTCGTCCACTAAAGGAATCCTGAGATCATTCATCTACCCCTAATTAAGCCATAAAACGTTCAAATCGAGTCTTGCTCTTAAACTCCTAACTTATTCAAATGACTTAGCGGTAAGCTAGAAGAGAAGAGTTGGAGAGACAAGCCCTAGCATAATCAAGCATATATGAAGCATATAATCACTAAAACAAACAAATCCATACACAAACCCTAACATAATTACATCTACATTCAAAACCTAATTCTAGGATTTGGGAGACTAGGCCCCAAAGTACCTTGAGGGATTACCCCATGTAGAGGGGGAGAAGAGACGTGCAAAGATGGGAAGAAAACATGAAGAAGGGTCTTCAAGTGCTGGAAATCCTCTTCCAAAACTCTCTTCCACTTATTCTTCTCCAAGCTTCTACTTCTCTCATTAACCTCACTCTAGAACAAGAAATCTTCCAAAAGTCTTATATTCAAGGGGAGGAGTCCCCAATTTATAGAATTCTAAGGACACATGCAAGTTCATGGGCATGAGGCAGGAGATCAGAGTCGTGATCTGAGGGCAAGAGGCCGTGATCTTGGCTTCATCGACTTTGGTCTTGTCTGGCTTTAGAGATCGCAGCCTGACTTCACGGTTGTGATCCGTGAGTCATGGCAGTGATCTTTCTCACGAGCCGGGATAGCAGGAGTCACGAGTCGAATGTCGAGACTTTCTGGTCTTCCCTTGACGGGTGCATCTTCATGTTCGAGCCCAAAACTCCATCATTCACGGCCACGATCTTTGGCTTGAAAGTCGCGATCTTCCTGCTCTACTTCGTGCCCCTTCATCTCGGTCCTGATCTTCACTCCTTCATTAGGGAACTCCATTTTGCCCCCTTTTTCTACATTTGTGACCTCATTTTTCACCTAAAACGTTGATATCATCTAAAACAAACTAAATGAAAATACTCTCTTCGATGAACGAATAGAGATGCATTTGATGATATATTGACCATCGAATGACTCAAAATGACCTTAAATATGAAGGCTAAATAACATCATTTTGGATTTTATCAATCACCTAGCATTCAGTTAACAACTAATTATGCTTATAACCTTACTATCCCGAATTCACACCATTTCAATTATCCTCATAAACATTTTCTTTAGTAAAATCTCAACTTGGCATTATAGCAATGTGGTAACAACGTGTGTATTCGTGGAGTGTACTATACTTTAAGTGATATGGTTGTTGAATGCACTTCGTCAAATCATAATCGTCTATTATAAATTTTACAAATTGATTTTTTGATTTGGTTTAGAGAATTGGGACATAAAGTTTATCAATTAGAGGTTAGCTTATATTATCATATCAAACTCTGTATGATTTATTTTCTGGATAGAGATAGATAACTCTGGTATTTTTTTATTTCTATATTATTGGTACTTTGACCGCCGCGCGGGGGAGGGGGGGGGGGTATTTGGCATTTTCAAAATGTGCAGAAAGTATAGGTAGTTTAAGCAAATTTGTCGGGTTATATATTCTATAATCGAGATATTCAATTTTCTAAGCCATCTCTCTATCTCTTCCTCTTTCTCCAGACGAAACCTTATGATTCGGGTCCAATTGGACACTTTTTTCCCTCACATCTTGATCGTTTTCCTTTGCATTTCATCATACCTCGACATATTTCACGCTAGGTTGTGCTTGTTTTGATATATTTTAGTTACTAGCACGCGTGGAAGGGTCGAGGATGAGTTTTGGGACGATTAGAGTTCGAAAAGCGCAAAAAGACCAACGAAAAGTCCAAAGTCACTGTTTCCCGTGACAGTGAAGCGCAGGCGTCCATGAAGCAGCCCCAATTCACGACCTGGCATTCGAGTTCATGTCCTCTAAGGGCGTGAACTGGAACCACAACCCGTGAACAGCGAGGCATCCAGCGAGGTTCCACAAGTTATTAACGACAAGGAAGTTCACGGTCTCTAAGACCGTGAACTTGGAGCACAAACCGTGAACCCTGGAGAGTGAAGCGGTGCGTTTTGGGGACGACGATGATTTCACGGACGCGTTAAGATGTTCACGGCCATGAACTGGCCAATGCGGGCGTGAACTAGGCATTTTCGGGCAAATATAAAAACAGTAGCAGAAGGAAGAAAGGGGGAGAGCTGGTTTTTGTAGAAGGAACACTTTCTTTCCCTAGGGTTTCAACCCAAAACACCAAAGGGGAGTTCTAGTGAGAGAGGGAGTGAACTTGGAGCTTAATTGAAGGCATTGATCAAGCTTGAAATCTAGGAATCAAGCCTAGAAGAAGAAGAAGATGATCTAGAGGTTTCTTTGTAATCTCCCCTCTCTCTCTCTCTCTCTCTCTCTCTCTCTCTCTAGAAACTCACCCTCTTCTATTGGGTTTAAGAACCCTGGGTCTAGATTTGGGTTTAATGTTGATGTATGTGACAACCTCCATGATTGATTGATGATTTTACTTAATTGATGGATGATTTCATGAATGGCATGAGTTGGGTTTCCATTTTCATGTATTGAGTTTTTGACCTAGGAGGGAGATAATCCCTTTAGAGCCCCCCTTTTGGCATCTTCGGATCACTCCTATCGTATATTGCCCGGTGATAAACCGTTAATTGCATATGTTTTTGCCCCTATTCTTGCGCCGTTTGAGATGTTGATTCTCTTGTTTTAGGCCATTTTCACGCTAGGTTGTGCTTGTTTGTGATATTTCAGGTCCTAGTACGTGAATGAAGGTTTGGGAGCGAGTTCGGGGTCGATTGGACAAAGATCGGACGTGTGGGGAGTCGCTGAGGAAGCCACACGGGCACACATAAAACCCACACGGCCGTGTGAGGAACTGATGACTCGGTATTTGCACATGTTTTCCCCTTTGTTTCTTGATTGTTTGAGCTTGAATTATTGCTTCTTTGGCCTATTTTATGCTAGGTTGTATTCCTTTGTCCCATTTCAGGTCCTAGCACATAAAGTGAAGCATAGGCGCAAGTTTCAAGTCAATCAGAGATCAATTGACGATTCGAGAGAGGAAACTTGGGCATGACCTGAAGAAGAATGGATTTCTACCTCACTTTATGGACAAAGAAGCATGCAAGCTTGTTATGAAACGAAAGAGGACGAGACTACGAGCGTCTGGGATCAAACGGCGACTGATTCGGAGTCCGGACGAGGGAGAAACGAAGCATTAAACAGAGGCTGAGCAAGCTGCACGGGCAGACCAGCGTGGCCACGCACGGCCGTGCAAGTGACCAGTTTGGCCGTGCGAGTTGGCTGAGGTTCAACTAATTGATACGCCGCGTTTTGAGGTGCACGGCCAGAATGGTGATGTGCACGGCCGTGCACCCTGGCCGTGCGAGTCGGGAATGGCTGTTTTTAACCCAAATTCGAGCCAAAGGAGGAGGAGAGCGGGGTTTTGGATCCCAAACACCCAAGGGACGAACCCTAGAGAGAGAGGGCGATTTGAGGGCATTCTTGGAGTAGAGAAGGAGGATTTCTTCGCCTTGGGAGCTCGAGGAACAAGCCCGGACTTGAAGACTGATCATCTGAAGATTCTTACTGCAGTCTCTCTCTTCTCTATGGAGTAACTTCCCTTCACTTAGGTTTTGAGGAACCCTAGCTATGTTTGTTTGATTGGATGATTGTATGAGTACTCCGACTTGATAATCTTGAGTTCATATTCAATCTATGCATGTTTTCATGATTCAATTCTGCTTTAGTCGAGATTAT